TTAAATATGAATCAATGTCTGTCTCTGCAGTAATCTGCTGGCAATACTGAGGCATCTTGGTGACATGTCTAATAGGGGTGTGCGAAATGGCTGTATTCGATTCAGATTTGGCCCAAATCAGGGACAGTGATTCCATTTGGATCACTGTCCTCAGTTCAACTCAGCTGAATCCGAATCTGAAGTTTTGATGCTGATTTGGAGAATCAGTGATTTAGACATAGACACAGCTTTAAATGTTTTTTCTACATACCTTGAGGTACCAGCGCAGCTTGTGAATACTGCAATGCTGGGGTGGATGGCGTGTCCCACAGGAGCACAGGGGCCCCCCCTGCATGCTTGGTGATGAACCCAGAAGTGGACCAGAAGTACTTCTGGTCCACTTCTGGGTTCATCACCAAGCATGCAGGGGGGGCCCCCCCCCCCGCGCTGGGGTGGTGGGGGGGGGGGGGGGGGGGGGGGGGGCTCAGGTGTACCCCCAGACCCAGGAGGCAACAGTCACTGAGCCAGGGGTGTGCAGGGGGGCCATGAATGGCATGTGCCCCCGGGAGCTGGGGTGGCATGGTGGCAGTGGGAGTATGGCAGTGGCGGCGGGAGCATGGTGGTGGTAAGAACAGAGGTCCCACAGACATCGCTGGCAGTGGCGGGGAGGGTGGCGAGCAGTGACCGCCTGCCACTGGCACTGTTGGCAGTGCCTTTTTGTAGGGGGTGCACTGCCACACTCAGGGGGTGCACGTGCACCCACATGCACCTCCTATGCATTGCCCCTGGCGGGCGGGTGGGGCATGCACTCCCCAGCAGACCCAGAAGTGGACTGGAAGTGTTTCTGGTCCACTTCCAGGTCTGCTGCCCAGTGCACTAGGGAGCCCACCTGCACTCCTGCTGGATGCTCCATCCACCCCAACATCGCAGCATTCATGAGCCGCCTGGTACCCTGAGGTATGTAGAAAAAGCATTTAAAGCTGTATCTATATCTGAATCGCCAAATCTTTCTGAATCTTTCCGAATCGATTCAGAGGAATCCGATTTGATTTAGAGAGATTAAAGGGTCTTCTGATTCAATTCAGATTCAGAGATTCAGTCACCAAATTGGGCCGAATCTCCACCAAATCGAATCAGGAACCAAAGTTTCACTCAGCCCTAATGTCTAAGCCCATTTTTCATCATCATAAAGTACTCAGTCTTATGCCCAATAATCTATGGTCAGTTGGTTGGAATTTCTAGGTCCATGTGCTCAGTAAACATAGATTTACTATACAGATACTACTGTTCAGCTGTAGTATTTGCAGCTAGCCAGTCTGTCTTGGGAAAGTGCAAGACTTTATCAGCCAATATAAACACATCTATTTCTAATTTGCTTCAGCAGGCAACCTTTTCCTGAACCACCAACACAGCATATCTTGATATACTTGGCCTTTCATTTTGGTACAAGGAACCTTCAGAACTTCTTTAATGGGACTAATTCTTTGAAGCTAGTATAAAATATCCCTAGCCCACTGCTTCAATTTTTCACTCCCTAAGTTATTTTCACATAAGCTTTTTAACATATTTTCTGTAACACATTAAGAATTGTCATCTTCATGTCCTTAAACATAAGCTTATCAAGTACTAAAAGCACTGCAAAAACTACATGGGTGGGAATAATCAGTCACAGCCACTTGTACTAAAAACCTTCATTTCTTTATGCATAGACTTACTTATTATCAACAGCAGTTTTGGCAATCAAAATTCCATGTTGGCTCTGTGATTAGACAGGTGCTTTATCTTACTGGCAGGTAGGTAATTGGGACTTTCTTACATTGAAATGTTGTCAAATACTATAGAAGTGTGTCTGTAACCACTACATCTCTCCAAATTTGTATTCAATTTGCAAATTACACAATAATCTGTATTCTAAAAGTACTGGTTACATTTGGCAACAGTTATAAGTGGTTTATCATCGGTTTCAGTTAGGACTGGCCTCCCTTAAATAGTCATAACATTTTTGTAGCAAACCAGGGCTAATACTTCCTTCCATATTTGAGTCTATTTGCATTCAGATTCTGTTAGAGACTACAATGTATAATCCACTGGTCTATGTTTTGATCACACATTGTAAAAGTATTGCACAAATGCCCTTCTTTGAAACATCCATGAACAACTTACTTTTGCTCTTCTTGTTCTCATATCACCACAGGACTGCGGCCTCTTCAGTTTCTTCAGCTTCTCAAATACTTAGTTAATATTTGTATTTCAAGCCTTTTGCACAACTTTATACAGTAGGACTCACAGCCCACTGGTTGGAGCAGCTGAATTAAGTACAAATTTCCCTGTTTAGTTTATCATGCCAAAGCATCTTTTGACATCTTGTCTGCTGGGGCAGACATGTTTGTGTTGCTCTCAGCTTTACTGCCATCTAACTGTATACCTGTGTGTCTTAACTTGGTTGTCAGATGCATCATTTCTACAACAAGGAATTCATTTCTTTATTTGGTCACTGTTAGCTTAGCAGCACTGGATCTTTCCAAAGTGACCTGCAGCCTCCAGCCATGTTCTTCTACTATCTTTTCCACATCTAAATCTCCTGTATAGAGATTTGCTGAGTCTACCCCATATACCATAAAAATATTGTATTTTTCAGTTAAACATCTTGTGCTTAGCATAACCCAAAAGGCATTCCGCAGAAACAGTGTGTCCCTCAAAGGGGATGAATATCCATAAACCTACGTTGTTTTTCCAAGGCCATCTGCTGCAATTTGACCAATGCATCAAGTGTGGAAAAATTTTTGGCATCAAATATCTCCCTCAGAATCTTTCTCCTGACAGACACTGAAAAAAAATCCCATTAAATACACGGATTTAAATATTTCAAATCTATTTATAAGTGAAGGGTTCTACCTTTTTTTTTCTCACAGTGATTGGTGAAGGTATGTACTCTGTGGGCTTTTCTCCTCACACTATGATCCCCAGAGCAGTGATTAAGTCTAGCTCTCCCTTTGTCCCCTGCCACTGAACAAGAGTAGCTTTCTTCAGTTTGGGAGCTCAGAGCCAGTTGGTCTCTTTTCACTCTATTTGGTCAAGGGAGTCTCTGTTCATTGCAAGTTTTGTCTTTAAATTCCTCCTTGATCTGTTTTGATCTAATTATCAAAAAGTAGTACATAATTGTACTGCCTACAAGAATACCCCTTTCCTTGAAAAATAAATAAAGAGTACAATTGCAAAGAAGATAACAAATAATTATTTATAAGTAAGTTTCCTTTTGGCTAACTTCATCATGACTAAATTAGATTATTTAAATCACAGTGATTTAAATCAATATTTCTTGAATATCTTACCCCGTGAAGTCCCCCATGAAGTTGTCATTAAGGTGACTAGATAAACAATAAGGGATGACTTGATGCAAGTAAGGGGGCAGAATCTAGCCCTGAGTCAATTCAGCCTCCCCCTTTTTTCTGTTCAGGATTTACCTGTAAACATGATTCAATATTTAAGAATTTTTTCCTGTTAGAAGGCAAGGTTCTTTGGGTAGATGTGATATCTTTTTTTAGACCAACGGAATAGTTGGGAAATTGTTCTTTGCAAGCTTTCGGGCACAATCACCCTTCTTCAGGAAGTCTCTGCTGTTCTGAGACTCTAAGGAATGAAAGAAGCTAAAAATGTGACCGGATGTCAGTAAGAATGTAAATAGGTGGAAATCAGGAAAGCAAAAGTTAGAGAAAGGAAGGGAGGGGGGAAACAAGGAGAAAAAAAGGCAAAGATAAGTAAGGGAGACTCTACTGTAGTCGTTTTCCAAGGTAGAAAAGAGGCTGTCTATGAAAAAGTAAAAAGCTGGAAATTAGGAAAACAAAGGGTAGAAAAGTAAGTGAGGGGAGGAAGGTGGGGAAAGGAAAAGTATAAAAGGTCAGATATGGCAGGTACCTGGAGAATCGGTTGTCATGGCAGGTTGTAATGTGTCATAAATCCAATGTCTATATTGAGTCCATGGTAACCAAAAACCCAGTTTCCTTTTAGAAATTATTCCATGTGTGGTTAATGACCCAGCCTGTGTGTTGACTTCCAGCTATTTTCAGGTATTCACTGCTGAGTGTTTTTCAGCTGTGTGGTCAGCAACTATATCAATGTATGGTAGCTGTCTACTAATGGGATAAAACCTGGAAAAGATGATCGTGGAAATGTAACAGGTTTTGAATAAGGAAGGTAATAAACCACTGGTCCAGATTATTAAGAAATTCTCAGTCATTGAAATCAAGAACAGATGTCTTTCAAAAAATTCATGACCTATTTCAACTACAGGTTTCAGTGTAAAAACAGGGTTAATCACTTGATATTCTACAGTCTGTCAAACATTATGCAACAACTTAGATTTAATCAAAATGGTCATTCTGGGCTTAAAAATGTGTCAGTCTGCATTTCCTGCCTGATATAATGAACATTTCATAGGTGCATCTTTCTACCTTTATAACCCATCAGAAATCAGCGAGCAGGAAGTGATCTACTCAGATCTGAAATTTCACACTCCTTCTGAGACACAGAGGAAGTCAACGCCTACAGTTGCAAAGAGCAGAGGTACTGTTCATCATGAGCTCTGCAAGCTCCTGCTTTCTTTTTATCGAAGTACCTGAATTCACAGATCATCCCCCAGGGGCAGCTGTTGTCTTGACATGAGATTTCAAGAACCAAATAATCAGAAGTATCTCTATCCTGATAGGGAGGCAAGGTTCTTTGAGTAGATGTGGTATCTTCTGTTAAATAAACTGAGTAGTTGGAAAAAAGTTCTTAGCAAGCTTTCGGGCTCAGTCACCCTTCCTCAGGCATAGAGGGCCTCTGCAGGAAACAGCACATGGCTGATGGGTGGGACTTCCCTTGGGCCCATCCTGGGCCAGTGCCCAGGCAGACCACTGATATAGCAGAGCACTGACCCTATCAGCAGGAGGGACTGTTCTCTTCTGGGCCCTCTAACCTGTTGTTGAGTATGCAATAAATAGCTACAATTACTGGAGGGATTGTAGATTCAAATGAGGGAGATGAGGGTTTCACTGACAGGTGTGGCAGAAAACTCCAGTGTACCCCCAAAATCTCAGGAGTGTGGCGTGTTCAGGCCCTACATGTGTTTGTTTTCTCTCTCATTTCTGTTAGAATCTTGTTCTGAGTCTTTGTCGTGGCGACTCATTGCAGTGATTCTGGGGTCCCTGTCTCTGGTTTTCCTTGTAATTTCTGGAGTCCTGGGTGCCCTATGTAAGTATTCACCATGAACACGATGAGAAAAGAGTTGATCTGTTGAAAAGTGTAGAAATGTGAAAAGTGTAGAAAACTCAAAGCAGTGTGCATACATGCACATTGTTATATTTTGGATCACTTTGTGAATGATAAGAGCTTTAATTGGTTGGTCAAAACCTACTGCATACACAGTTGTGACTTGAAATTTTGTAACTGAAACATTTGATAAGACGAAGTCTTGAAGAATTTTTTTTTTGGATTTATGACCTGAGTTTAGGTTGAGATTTCCACTGTTTATTATTTAAATGTGGCTATAATCGAGGCACAGAAATGGGATCTCACATCTACTGTTTTGGAAAGCTTATTCCAGCTTTCTCAGTTTTTCAAGCTGTCTCAAGGTCCCGATTCAATTTGCAGATATCAATTTGAATCATGAGGGGGATAGCATGAAAAAAGACATTTTGATTTAAACAAAAACAAATTTAACCTGTATTTGGAGACTGACCTGTAAAAGCATAGAGCTTTTTTCAAACAACAACTAGAATTTCACTAATACTTTGGTTACTTTAACAGAAAAGTTATGCACAATTCTTAGCACGTTATAACAGAACTGGCAACTGGTTTATAAAGAATAATTTGGTTCTGTTTTAACTGAGTGTGTTTTCCTTATCATTGTGGACTTAAGTTCTCTTGCCTACCCTCCAAGTGAGAAGTCAGATTGAAATCCTTCCCCAGCAAGAGGAAGTTCTGAAAAACCTTACGCAGCTGAATGAAACTTTGGAAAACTGCACCTTGGAAAAGGATAATCTCAAGGCCCAGAACACAAACCTGAAAGGTACTGAGTAGCGTTCATGATTCTCTTCCACACTCAATGCTAATTTTTAATTAGTATCCAGTTCTTTGTGCCCTGATGACACAGAGGATTCTTCCCCCCAAGCATTCACTGTACAACGGCTTGAATCAGTTACTGATAATCTGGAAAGCCAAAGCCAAATTTCTTTGAGACATGGGATCTCCTCAGTACAGGCATACAATGATCCACAGCTCCATAATGACACACTTGAGAAATGTAGGTAGCTCTGTGGCAGCTCACATCTCAGCTGAGCAAGGTAAAGCCACTGAGCCACAGAGGGACAATAAGTAATGCACAAGATACTGTTTATGTGCAGGGGGTGCCAAGAAAGACACTCATACTCTTCCCTCCCTCCAATGATACCAAGCACCATCATGGTTTCCTTATGTCATGATGGAAACCATGCATGACAATACTTCATCTGCAGTTGAAGGTACTTCATCAGATAAACTGACCTAGAGCTAGCCTTAATAAACAAACAGCATGGGCTACCTCTCCCTGTTGAAAAGGGTCTTTGGCCACTCCCAGTCCCCATTTTCTCCACATTTCCTACTTGTCACTTGTGATTAGCCCTAACCTCCTCTAAAGCGCTTTGTTACCTTTGTTGTTCACTGCATGTGCAATATTGTTACTAGCAATAACAGAAACTGCCTATTGGAAAAGACACTGGATCACACCTCACAGGCTGTGGCAGATGGAGAACACATTCATTCAGAAGCTTCCCTAAACCCCTGGTCAAGCCCTTTCTTCTCAGGAGTGTAGTTGCACCTGCTCAGGGAATGATTAGATGCCAGGGTTTTGCTCAGAGCTGAGGGGGACAGATTTTGTTGTTGTTGCCTCTGCCTTTTCTTCCTTGTTCAGTTACCATTTTGCCTTACTACTTTTAAATGGAAAATGTTGGTCATTCCAGATAGTTTGTGGAAATCTCTTTCTTACACTCACCCTAAAGCAAACAGTCAGTCTTCAGTTCAGTCTCTTTTCTTCTGCAGTCATTGCACAGATGTCCCTCTTTGGGGATTGTATGCTATGTGGCACTGTACAGGAAGGGTCACATCTCTTTATGATGCAGACAAAACCCCAGCCAATGTACTCAGGGTGCAAAAGAACTCCAGGAGCCCAGCATCCTGAATCACCTGCCACTGAGCAGAGCAAGTTGAGGTTAGGTTCATTCAAGGGAAGGGAGCACCCGCCCAGGAGTGAAATTAGCTTTCAGTGCCATCGCTGAAGCTTTTAAAACGTATCTTATGCATACTCCTCATAGATTGCTTATCTTCTAAAACAGACACAACCATCCTCAGGACTAGGATCTGAGACTCTCTTCTGCCCCAAAACAGGGCCCCTGAAGGGGAGACTGCATGATCGTCTGCTCAAAAACATGTTAGCTAAGGGAGAGACTGCATGACCATCACTCTGTTGATGGCTTTGGTCCTTTAGCTCCCATGTAGTAAAACAAGCCCTTATTCCTCACTGAACAATGTAGCACGTGAACACCAGCATCTCCATGGTTTACTCTAACATTATAAGGCATCTCATCTATCTCCCCAGAAATATAACAACTCCTGGTGTCAAACGTGTTTTGTTTTGGTTTTTTTTCCCAAGGAGATAAACCCAGTGTTTGCTCAGATTGCTGGAAACATCATGGAGGAAACTTTTACTATTTTACTAAGGAAAGGAAAACCTATCAGGAATGTAAAGCAAACTGCTCTTCTCGTGGCTTCAAACTACTCAAGATAGAGAACAAAGATGAGCTGGTAGGACACTATCTCTCTTCCTTTGTGTACACTAGCCAGTGATTTATACCTTTCCAAATGCCTGTGTAGTGGAGAAGTGAATTATGGCTCTAGAAGGGATGTTCTTATTACAAGGTAAGCTGGTCCTCAACAGTGCCCTAGGTTATGTTCTGAGTTAAGATCTCATTCCAGAAAAGGATGTGGGTACTTAAATTGGGTCACAGGCCAGATATAGGTGCCTAAGAAGAACACTCTGGCTCCATCTACACGATATGCTACTGTGCAGTCATTACCATGCATTTATTGAGTACTTGTATAAACATTGCTAACTAAATGATCAGTAACCTGAGTTACTGCTCAGTAGTGCTGGTGAATGCCTTTTTTGTGATGCTACTGTGTAGTAGCCTAATACTACTGCATAGTAGCGCCACATCACAGTTTTTGCCATGTGATACTACAGTAGTACTGGGCTACTGCTTAGTCAGCATCTCATGTAGACATGGTCTCAAGGCTGGATTTAACCCTTTAATGGGCCCTAGGCAAACAAACTTGTGGGCCCCATGCTGGTCAAGACCCCCCACCTCCCCACCCCAGCGCTGCCATCCAAGGGAGCAGGACTTGGAGTCCCCACTAGGAAGCAGCTGCCGTGGCAGCGAGGCCGGTGGAGGGGAGAGAAAGGGAAAGAAAGGAAAGCAGAAGGGGCCATTCACACTGCCGCTATGGAGGGAAGGACCAGGCCCCATATGCAGCTCAGGGCCCTGGGCATGTGCCTCATTTGCCTATGCGTTAATCCAGCCCTGCAAAGCCTCTGGGTACATGTACATTAATGCGCTGTTATTACAGCACTTTAAGTTTAGTACCTGTAATGACAGGTAACAACTAAACACACAGTAACCAGCGTCACTGCACAGTATTACTGGCAGTGATGCTAAATGCTCAGTCTTTTCGTGATGCTAAATGCTCAGTAACTTAATTCTACTGTGCATTAGTGCACTAGCATAGCTTTTGCTGTGATGCGCTAATGTACAGTAGAATTAGTCTACTGAACATTTAGTGTCTCATGTTGATGTGCCTTCTGACCCCCCAAAAGTCTTCTCAGCTGCCACCAAGGAGGTGCCTCGTGCCTGTAGGCACCTGAGATTTCAATATTACAGCTCCCCAGAATCATGCTTCTTCAAAAGTCCATTTAATCCTGGCAGCACAGAGCAGCTAACGTGCCTGGCTCATGCACAAGCCTTGCACAAAGCACAAACTAGGCATCCCAACACCTGTTCTGCCCGCAGAGCTGGATCTGATAGGCATTTCCAGGATACACCTAAGGAGCAACCTCTGCACAGAATGCAGCAACATGGCAGCCTCTTCTAATCTTGAAACACAACCAAAGGATGTGCCCCCCTCTCCTCCCATATAACATCTTAGTGGTTAGTGCACTTGCCCAAGATTTAAGTGGCCAGAGTTCAATTTTGTTCCCTAACCGAGGAATTCCTAACCTATATCACTCACTACCTGTAAAGAAAGTGCCATAATTGCCCAGCTATAGACTGGAGCAGGCTCAGTCTCATCTCTATCCCTTCTACTGAGATTGTTCATTTTAGACAACATAAAGAATCACTGAACCTCATACAGACAGGGAGAGCTTACCTAACTCTTTACCCTGTGGGTTGTAGTATTCACCTGAGGAGTTGGAAGACCTGGATTGTAGGTGGGGTAAATTAATGCAGGTGGGCATCCTAGCTGTGGGCATCCAGAGTGGGCATTGTACACCTCCTCCAGGGCCATGGGCTAGGGGCAGTTGCAGGGCTCCCTGAGGGTGGCGGTGGCTTCCTGGGGCCATCTGCTGACAGGAGGCCCCATGGGAGGCCCTGCTCCCACTCCCCACCATCTGTGGGTGGCTGCTGGCACCAGTGCCGTGGGCATAGGACAGAGCAGGACAACGCACTATCCCGCTAGGGCTGGCAGAGCTGTAGGCAGGCAGCCAGGGGCAGCACTGAGCCCTTGACCCTCCCCCAGGCTGACTCATGGTGCGGCACTAGGAGACTGCAGCCCTGGCTGCATGCCACCCGCTGGGTAGAGGGCAGCTTATTGGAGGGAGGCTGGGTCTGAGCAGCTTATTGGGGCTGCCTTCACCTCAGTGGCATTTGCGCCCCTGGTCCAGCCCCAATGTGCCGAGGAGTCTGAGGGGGCCCAGCCACACCCCCCTCACCTGGTGGAGGGCCTCCAATTTTCTGTTTGCCCAGGGCCCCAATAAATCTTCATCTGCCGCTGGTTGTAGGCCCTGCTCTCAGGACTGTTTAGCTATTTTGGAGAGCCAATGCACAGAATATAGTAACAATGTTAGGGGAGAGAAATCTATCATAGGACCCCAAATAATTATGAAATTGTATGGACCTTTTTCCATTGATGCCATGGCTGTTCCTGTCAGCTACAATGAGGGCAGTTGTGATACTACCCTTGAGTGAGATGGTCACATTAAAATGCTCAGTCCCCACTGTAAAACCTATGACCAGCCCATATGATGAATTTGGCTACTGTGGATACTTCTCTCACAGCTGAAGTATCTGACTGAGGCCTGGAGGAAGGGTTTTTTTCCTCGTGCAATCCAGAGTCAGGACTCCTCCTCCCTGGGGACAGGTGTCTAGAGATACTCTTGCAAGGTGGAGGGCAGACCTACTGTTTTCCTTTTAAAATGTAGACACTGGGGTTACCATGGTCTTAGCCAAGATATATAATGCTTCTCTTCCCTGGAATTCAGGATTAACAGATTAAATTAATTTATTTGGTTTTACTCCCAAGATGAATTTCCTAAACCCTCTGGCAGATTTCCATTGGATTGGACTAACCCGCAAAGGAATGGCTTCGCACTGGAAGTGGGAGGATGGCACACCTCATTCCAGCCACCTGTAAGTCTCCATCACATTTAGAAAACTAATTTATACCCTGGGTTTTTCTCACAGGATTTGTATTATGGCCCTGCTGATGGTCAAAAAGGTCAGTCAGTATCCCCAGGAATATGCCCATCTTTTTCTACCAGGACAGAGAATGCCTGGTGTAGGATTACCAAGTATCTTCATATTTTGTACTGTTACAATCACATGGAGGGAGGGATACTTTACAAGTTTTCATATAAATCTAAATGATGAAATATGACATGATTAAATAAATGTATGAATCCCTTTGTCAGACACAATTTTCTCTCCTGGCATGGGAGGTAAATGTCAAGCTATCTCAGAACACCATATGTTTCAAAACTGAACAATTCATTTTGCATGATGTTACTATTTGATCTTGTGAGTAAAAAAAGGAAAAATAAAAAATCACCAGTATTAATTTGCATGAAAATGAGGTAAAACACATAACAAGATGCCAACTCAACTCAGCTAACAATTTCAAAGAAATACCAAATTACAAAGATCTACTCTGTATGAGTCAACTTATTAGATATTTTTTGATAAACTATATTAATAAATAAAACGTGGTATTTCCAGTATTATGGGATGTAAATGCAGTGACAGTGTTTGTGTTTTCACTGGTCTCCTTGGCTGATGTGAAATGTTTCATTTTACACCAGGTTCCCAGTAAGGATCTTACAGCCTGGAAAGTCCTGTGCACTTTTCAATGCAGGAGAAGCCCACACCAGTAGCTGTGATGAGCAATGGTACTGCGTATGTGTGAAGAGGGAAGCTGAGACTGTTGCACCAGAACAAGGAGGAATAGAGTATCTATGGGAGGTCCCAAAGGCCAAGAGAAATCATTGATCTTTGAATTGATAAAGTTGCTTATTTTGTCTGAGGAGCTGCAGTTCCCTAGGGTGTGGTACAGCCCTTCTGGGATGCTGCTCGGTGAACCAAGGACCAGCGGTCAGTGTGACTGTTGCTCCCATTCTGGCTTCATATGGTTTAATTTGAAATTGGCAATTTGTTCAAAAGTCAATAAATACCTTGTGTCTGGTGTTTCCAGGAAATACTACTTGTCCCAAAATCAAGTACCCAAAATGAAGGTAGTAGAGAAACAAAAGAGGGAACAAAGGAGAAGAGTTTTCATTGGTAAAGCTGACTCACTATTCTTGATACAGGGGAGGAGTAAGCTGGTGCCTCTAGACCTCAAAGGATGAAACAAAACACAGGGCCAGAATCCAATCACATAGCTAATCACTAAATGCAATTTAGATGCAATAGATTTGCTAAGTCACACAAATGATCCAGATCAACCCTGCTCTAGTAATTTCTCCGCCCCTCCACCACACTCTGCACCCACCAATGAAAACCCCATTCCCCAAACTTGAAAAACATTTCATGTGTCTGAACCCACCCCTGAGTCCATCTATGAGGAGCTGGGGGTGGGGCTGCCCAGGGAATTGGGCCCCATTGCAGGCAGCTGGCACCCTGGCTGTAGTCAGTTCCCCTGTGGATCCAGGGGCAGCCCAAAGGCCAGGGATGCCTGCAACCAGCAGGTGCTGCATGACCTTCCAGGGTGCCACCAGGGGCCTGCTATGGAGTGGTAGACAGGACCCAGGGTCCCTGTGGGGCAGGGGGGGGGGCATGGGCACAGTGTCTTTTGGGTGGCCCTGGGTGGCTCCATCAGCTCCACACACTAGAGCTCCAGGGCCTCCATCTTGGCCCAGTGGGCATGGCATGCCCACATCTGGGACTCCTCCCGGGTGGCCTCCCAGGTGAGGTCCTCTGCCTGCCACACCTGCTGATCTGGCACCTGCCCCTCCACTGTGAACATCAGCTGCTGGAACAGGCAGATCCCATCCTGGCTGTGCCACTGGTGCAACTGGTGCCTCCAGGCAGCTCCAGAGGTAGTGAGCCTGTGGTGGCAGTCCTCCGGGCCTTTGTGGCTTCTCCCCTGCATCCATATGTTGGCCCCATAGGGGCAAGTGACACAAGACTTTTGTGAGAGTTTGAAACATTTGAGAGATTAGATGCTCTTCTCCAAGGCCCTGCACTGCCTGGCCTCAGATTGGAGGTTGTCTGTGTGTGGGTGCCCAGGGACCATGGTAAGCTGGCTGGGCAGGCCTGGGCCCAAGTGGGTGCTGCCCGAGCTCCCTGACCCCACTTGCTCCCCAGGGGCTGGCCACAGCCCACCTGCCTCCTCTACCCCCTTCCCAGGGCAGACCAGGCCAGGCTGCTGGCAGCACCTGCTGCTATGGCTCCAGACCCTACTGACTCCCTCCCTTTTCCCCTGTAGGCCCACTGCTCTGCTGCAGTGCTGCCCAGCCCCCAGTGCCCAGGCTCTGGGTGCAAGGGGCTCCTGGAAAACTGGGGTAAGCAGCTGGCTGCCTCCCCGCCCTCCCTACTGGGGGCCTCTCTGGGGAGGTGCCCCAGGGCCGGCCTCCCACCATGCCACCATTGTGCCCCAAGTGTGCCTCTGCAGCAAGTGCTGCAGGCAGTGTGTGATGGGCTGTTTGTGCAGGCAGAGGGCTGCCTGGGCCACTATGCCCTGCTGCTGCTTATCTTTCTCGTGTCCTGGGCACACCTGCACTCCTGGATTGGGACCCTCAGCTATGATGGCATGAGCGGGCAAGCCTAGCTTGCCCTGCAACCTCCACCACTGCCTGAAGAGCTATCTGTCACAGTGCTACATGTTCCTGTTCCTGGCTGCTGAGGAGGAGATTGCTGCCAGGATCGACACATTCCTTGGTTGTGTGAGAGGCCCATGCCCACCCATCTGCAGGGATATGGGCTGATCAATAAAGGTCTGACCTGTGTCCTGCCTCTTGCATGCTGTGGGGGGAGCCTGGAGCCAAGGGAGTTCAGGTGGGCCAGGCAAGTAGGGGGGCCCAGGGCTGGGGCCGGGGCTGAGGCTGGGGCCAGAGCCAGGGGCAGGGGTGGGGACTGGGTGCTGGGAGGGCCTGCCCTGCAGTGCAGGACTTACCATGGATCTGGGGCCAGCAAGGCTGGCAGCTTGGCGTGGGAATCCCTGTGCCAGGCAGCATTTGGCTCTACCCGCTGTCCATGGCTTGGAGGTATTCAGGAAGAGGACAGGCATTGGTGGTCAGGAATGACCTAGGCTTTGCTATGCCTGTGTTCTTCTGTGGGTATTTCCCCATGCTTCTGGGCTTTGCTCATTGCCACAAGGGGCTGAGAGGGAATTTTTCCTCTCCTGCTGCTACATGTGTCAGTGGGGGTTTAAGCTTTCCTCAGAAGCATTAAGTGTTGACTACAGGCAAGGCTGGGGATTTTGCCTGGGGTTTGCCAGTGCTCCTGCTAGGACTTAAATCTGGAAGTTTTTGGCTAGAGGGCCTTGCTCCTCTTCTCTGGTTCAGACCAATCACCACATTTGGGATCAGGAAGGAATTTTACCACATAGATTGGTATGGAATGTGTGTGGTTTTGCCTTGCTAGGTGGCAGGGATGTGGCCCTCTTCCTCGGATCTCCTGAGTGTATTTTAGCAATGTTTGCAGCAACAGAAGATTGGCCACTGTGGTCCCCCTGCTTTACTTGTGTCAGATTAGGATGTTATAGCTTGTGTTGTGCTAGGAGGTTAGACCATGGGTTTGTATAGGTTGGTTTGGATAGGGATGCTTCTGCCTTAGGCAATGGGTTGGACTAGAACTTTAGAGGTCCCTTCAAGACCTTCTTCTCTATGATACTATTCTGTTTCTGCCTTGAATGAAATCGCAGGAGGAGCCTAGGCCGGGGGGGGGGGGCGGCGTGCCAGAAGCCTGGTGTCTTCCTCCCAGAGCAGTGCCCTCCTCACTGAGGCACAGAGCTGTACACCTTGCAGGCTCCCCTTCTGGTGTCATGGCTGTTTTCTTTTTGATTGCCCAGTGGCTGAGCTTTCATGCAAGAAGTGAAGGTGCTTTGGCCCTGCCTGGCCCATGGCATGGTGATAAGACGATTTATTGGAAATATAGTGATGTGAGTTCAGAGCCTCAGGCTGAAGAAGGCCTGGAAATTGTCTCCCCATTTTTGAAGCAATTGTCCCTAATTGCTAGGCTGTTGGGCTAGAGGGATGGGCCGTTTACTTCTTGTCTCCCTCAGAACTAGGTGGATTCCTGCATCTACAGCACCAAAAGGCATGGGGGAAGGTATATACTTTCCTGGGCGACTGGGATCAGTGAAGGCTGCTCAATGTCAGGAGAGGAGAGCTGCATATCTTTTTAGAGTGCTTTAGGGCTTCCCAGTGAGAGAACAGGAGAACTACATATCTTGCAGGGTGGAACTGCACTCCTAAGACAAGATACTTACATTTTGTGCTAGCTTTGGGAAAGGAATAATTGTTGAGCCTTTGACTGGGCCTTCAATTCAAAGCTTACTAAATTCAAAGCTTACTAAAATAAATAGAAATACTTCCCCTGACTCTAGTGGGCCAAAGGAAGCAATTAACTTCCTTTGCTGATTGTTCAGAGGATGAAGCTGCTACTACAAACCTTGTTTTTGCTCATTTTAGGGTTCCTTGTGAATCACCCTTTACTATTTGATGGAAAATTCCCTCTAGAATGCATACACCTACTTGCAAGGAAAAGTTTTTCCCCCAGCAATTCTTTACATAAAATAAAATGATCACAAAAGACATGGGGCCATATCCTCAGCTTGGGAAAATTGACAGAGCCCTAGCCATCACTTATTCACATGCTGAGAATTTTGCCTAAGCTCTTCTGACTTCCACAGATCTCGCGTATTCCATGGACAGGCTCAGGATTAAACATAAGTTTAAAGCCATTATTTATAACTGGAGGTTTCAACCTTTTTTAATAAGTGTACCCCCAGTGGCCGGACGTGGAGCGGGGGGTAGGAGTGGCGTGTGGCCAGATGCAGCAGGGAGGCAGCCTGGGATGGTGGATGGTGGTAGTGGCTGTCGTGTGTGAGTTTCTTCCCTGCCACTGCCCGTGTCCAGCCAGCCAGGCAACACCTGTGTGGCCCACAGAAGGGCACTGCTGCCCTTGCCCCTCCCCCCC